TACACATAAATAGAGTTGAAACGTACCAAGAGAAGGGGAAGGGTTTTGAGTTAAATGTGAACATTAATTTGCAAAATTATTAAGAAAAAAAATCAAAATGTGGAAAAAAGAGGAAAATATGATCTCTACGTCGAGGAGATGCCACGTCAGCATATCATGATTCTGCTTTATAGATATATATATAGATATATCAAGATAGAGGGAGAATCATGCTCTAAGTTGATCAATTTGTGAGAAGACAAGAAGTTTTAAGATCACACATAATTACATTTGATGGGAAAACGTAATCATATATATGATTAAACATATTTAAAAGGGATGCAGGCAATTTGGTGAACACGACCAAAGGTCGGGGGGAGGTTGCCCGCTATATGTCAATCACCACAACATGTGTTCAAACGTGGTATGCGAAGGTGGGGGTTCAGACTGATGAGGGACGCAGGAATTGCCTTTAGCTGCCCAGAAGGCTGAAATAGATATATGATTATGTGTTCGTATCACATGTCTGATCTAAAAATATCTTGTCTTCTCGTAAATTAACCAAGTTCTCGCATCATCCTCTCCATTAGTATTAATATATTCATCATCTAAACTCTGGTTAAAATTTTGAAATTCTTTATATCGATGTGAATATTAAAAAAAATACTCGTTCTTTGAAAATAATTTATTTAATTAAAAAGAAGTAATTATATTTAAGACAGTTTTGATTTGAAAAAAGCGAGGTGTAACACCCTTGTTCCGCGTGGGAGGAGGATGGTGTGTTATGAAGGAAAACATAACAACAAAACTAACTAACATATGCGGGAAAACCAGAGCTACTATGAATATCAATCAAAATAAAAAATGTGTTAGACTAAAGTTAAGACGACATGGATAGAATTACAATATATACAGAAACAAAAAAGTATTAAACCATCCAAGGTCATGTTCACAATAATCATATTCCATCGCTCTCAGTCTGATGATAATCCCACCTACAATCCTGTACTTGTCGAGGACAAAATAAACCTCGTCTAAGCCTATTGCTTAGTGAGCGGATAATCAAAATAACAAACATCGCAAGTATATAATCAAGTCAATAAAAGATGATAATTATAAGAAATCTGAAAACTGGAACATGAAGTGATCAATTAATAATTGACATGAAATATCCATATTGCATGAATTAAAATAATATCATCAAGTCAATAATTGAGAATCAATAAGAAAATCAATTGGGTTCGAGGGTTGTACGAAACACTCAAAACAATGGAAAATGAGTGTAGGGCGAGAACGAGATAAACAATTCACCTCAACTAGAGTTACAATAATTGAATATCCGTACCTTAGATGGTAATTGATGCAATGCGCCCGAATATTCCAACTTTAAGCCATGTAACGCTACGTCACCAAAGAGTTTTACATATGTTCAAAGCTCCTATCCCATTGATAAAGATCACTTATTATCCTAAGATTTGGTCATGAATTGGCTCAGACATGATTGGGACTGATTGGTACAAGATTTACAAAGGTAACAAATCTTTACAACACAAAGCACAAGCAATTACTGCAATTTAATCTCCTGCACCTGACAACTTTGAACCAACTTGATTTTGATCATTTTTATCATACTTATAGGTACATTCAGGCTGTAATGTCTAAAACAAGAGTTGTATGCCTATTCCTTAGGGTTCCAATCATTTTGGATCCATAACATTTGGAGCAAAGACCGATTTCATATGATTTATCTAAAAACAACGTGCAAATCCCGTTTTTACACAGGACCAAATTTAGAAACTCACTGTTTTGAGCATCATAGAGCTAAAATCAGGTTTGGACATAAACTATAAAGTTGTAGGAGACTTAGAAACCTTTCCAACGATATATTGCACACCTCAATTACATCAACTAGCAATTTTATATGAATTTTTATACAACCAACAACTATTATATTTTCTCTACACAGCTCAAAACATATTCTTTCGTATATATTTGATGCTAAAACCATAATAAATGAACTATATACCATTTCCATACCACAAACAAATGTTTAAAACTTAATTCTCCACTTCTTTAACCACCAAAAACATGAAACTAACATAATTTGACAAAGGTTTAACTTACTAATCAAAAACCCTGTAAACCCTAACATAATTCATACCCAAGTTTGACATCAATAAACAATTTAAAACGTATATCTTGGATTCTCTTCTACAAATAGCAATTCTTCAAGATTCTTTCACCAATACTTCAAGTTCCTAATCATTTTCTTTAATTGCTCAGCTTCGATCTATCAAGGTATCATCATCTTCGTAGTTACATGAGGAGATATGAATCAGACCCTAGGTTTGGATGAGAGAGAGAGAGAGAGAGAGAGAGAGAGGTAATTAACATAATGAGACTTTTTGGCTGAATATTGGGTTTAAGTAGCTAGTACAAGAAGTCTCACTTATCAAAAATTATCTCTCATCAATGGCCTAATTCAATATTGGTCTTTACATGGATTTTTCTTAACATTATTATTCTAAGACCAATTATTTTTTACATAATTGCCCCTTTACATGAAATTTGGACTTACATTATTAGTCCAAAATACAGCTATTTTAAGCAAGGGTACAAGTAGATAAAACATCCAATTCTCATGTAAATGAATATACTAAGATTAATCGGTAACAAAATCTAAGGTGTTATAAAGGTAAATTTGATATAATATAGAAACCGTAATTTGAATTCTCAAAATCTTTTAAACTTGTATTCTTATTGTTTACAAAAGAGGCAAAATATAAATATTATAACAATTATAAAAAAAAATTATGTATTCTCTAACAAAAGTTACTTCAACTCTAATAAATTCTCTATTTTAAAAATCTAATAAACGGTTTTATAAAAAATTTAAAAATAATTTTATATAAAATAATAATAATTTAATCTTATTTTATAAAAAATAATTTATTTCTTTATGCATCAATTTTTAAAAAATATTATAATTTTAAAGCGTTGTTTGGTAGTTGTTGAATGATTTAGTGCAGAATGATTAAGTAATCAAAATGATTAAGGGAAAAGTACAATAAAAACCAATGAAGTTTCTTGTTTGGAATGATTAAGTCCTTGAACTTTTTTTTGGAACAAATAAGTCATTGGACATTCCAAAACATGTTAAATAAATCCTTGAACATTCCAAAATATATTAAATAAGTCTTTGGACAATTTTTGGAACAAATAAGTCCTTGGACATTCCAAAAAATGTTAAATAAGTCATTGGACAATTTTTGGAACAAATAAGTCCTTGAACAATCCAAAACATGTTAAATAACTTCTTGAAAAAAATAAAGTGGTAAAATAGTGAAAAAAAATCCCCAAAAAAACCCAATGAACATTCATATTTTGAACGATTAAGTCCCTAAATATTTTTTGAACCAAAAAGTATTTAGATCTATAAAATTAAACAAATATAACAAAAAAGTACTTACATTTACAAAAAAATAATTACCATTTTAACTAGTTGTACAAGTCATAAGAATGTATCCAACATATTTTATAAAAGTTCAAAAAGTTATTAACATGTTTTGGATTGTTCAAGGACTTATTTGTTCCAAAAATTGTCCAAGGACTTATTTAACATTTTTTGAAATGTTCAAGGACTTATTTGTTCCAAAAATTGTCCAATGACTTATTTAACATTTTTGGAATGTCTAAGGACTTATTTAACATATTTTAGAATGTCCAATGACTTATTTGTTCCAAAAAATTGTCTAAGGACTTATTTAACATGTTTTGAAATGTCCAAGGACTTATTTGTTCCAAAAAAAAGTCCAAGGACTTAATCATTCCAAACAAGAAAGTTCATTGGTTTTTATTGTACTTTTCCCAATGATTAAAGAGCTCTCATGATATAGTGCAAAATGAAATATAATTGTTTGGTAATTATTTACAGTGAAATTAGGGCGCTGAATAATTAAGCGAGACCCATTATGCAAAATTATTAAGATGATTTTAGAACCATTAAAAGACAGACTTTTCTTTTGTCAAACAAGATTTATCTCTTAACGATTTAGAGACCGCCTCTTATTGGAACTATAAAGAGGTAAACAAACAAACCCTAAATTATCATTAATTTTTTTAAGCACAATTTAAAAATATAACAGAAGGAAAAATAAGGAAAAAACCTCATTTTATCTAAAAAGATGCTCTAAAACACGTTACTTGGAGAATTAGAAATGTTCCGATATTTGGCGTAAGTACGAGGTAGGAAATTCGACGGCGGACCCCATTGCTTCAAAACCACCTCAACCAATCACATAACGATACGTGTGCTCACCATGCTTCCTTAAAATATATTTACCGCGGGAAACAAGTTTTCATCCCTTTTTTTTAACTTCAATTATTATATGTACTCCGCCCGCCCACTCCACTACCCAAAATTCCCTCCCACTCCATCACAAAACCCCTTAAACCCTAAGATGGCAACAGCATAAAATTTCAGAGAAAGCTTGAATAGGTAGGTAAATCAATGGCGTATCAATCAAGAACTCGAAAAAGGGTCAATGCATTGCGTCGTGCTCCTGATGGCAGTGCCTTTCGAACTTGGTATTCATCCCCCCTCTTCTCTCTATCTCTGTCTTTATATCTATCTATCTATCTATATACATCTGTATGTATGTGTATATATATATATATATATACACACACACACGCATACACATTTTCATATGGGTTTGTGTTTAAAATTGCAGTGAAAGTTGTGGAGTTTCTGTAGCGATTGCTCTGGTGGATATGCATGAATGTGAATCCCAAAAGGATGTGAAGAGATTGAAAGTGGAAAAGGAGAAGCATCAGATTAAGGTAGAACTGAGGTTTCAAGATCAACCCAGATCAGAATTCCGATTCTTCATGTAAATTTCTCTAATCTTCCTCTTTTTTGTATTGGGGTTTTGTTTGATTCTCGATTTACCAATTAGAAACTCTGTTTCTCTTGCTGTTTCCATGTTTTGGGATGTCAAAATTGTCGCGTTTATGATGAC